ACTCTCGACGGTGGTAAGAAAGTATAATTGCATCACGAACCTGATCGACCACATCTAGTAGTTTACTGTTAACCTGATCACAGGGGGCCACCACCACACACACTGGCTTTGATCCTAAAATTCTCCTGTGAAGCTCTTTTGGTCCAATATTGTTTGCCACTATCACGAATACGCCGCCTGAAAAAGAAAAAAAAACATCGCTTGATAAAAGTTTGATTTTGTTCACCGACTAGAGAAAAATTTCATTTCATTCCACGTGTTCTTTAAGTGCGAATGAAAAGTGTAGTTCATTTCCACCTCTGTGATTGGTCAAGCAACCTATTCCTTCCCAGATGAACCTTTCATAAAGTCTAACACTCAAAACGTCAGCTGCTGAAATGTGCAGTGACAGAACGTCGATTACATGACCCATCACAGCTCCCAGTCGTTGTCTCGTGTAACGTTTTGCAGTACCTGTTCTTAAACAAGCAGCCTGCATCAGCCAGTATTCGGGAATAGTGGGTAGTATCACCATCACGCGGTCTCCTGGTTTGATGCTGACTGCAGTGCACAGCAAGTTAGCCGTCCTGAAAAGGATTGATAAATGAATGACACGCATGAAATTAAGGTGAATACTACGCTAGCTTAAGGGAAGATACAGCTAGCATCTATACTCTGCTGTTTTCCACCCTGTTTCAACTGAATTTCGGTTATGCTTCGACTGTTAATTAACTCACCTTCTTGGTCGGTTTTGCTTAGATCGGAATGTTTCCTTCACGGATATTGTGTGGCTCGCCATGAGGGTTGTAAGGCGGCGATCGAAAGGGAGCTCCGTGCTCCGTACCTGGGTCCGAAATCCTTAACATTAATTGTAATACTTGCACCTCTATTTACACGTCTCTATTCTTACGAACGTGTCAAGAATTTCTTCTAACAAGCAAGCACAAAACCATACAAGCCAATGATGAATGTTGAATTAAACAACGATAATAAAACTCAACGTAATTAGCTAATAATGATTAACACATCGTTGCAGCTATCACAGTTTGTGAGCCTGGCTAAGAACTTACAAATATTTTGAAAGGAAATGAATGCCAGTAGTTAACTACCACCATAACGAAAAATAGCAAACGTGAAAGCCGTTAAGAACATTAAACATCTTTCATCACTGGCTAGTACACTTTATAAAATTAAATCACAAAATAAGCCCTATTAAACGATTGTTACATGGTCGATAATGTGTAGGAATACCCTATCTTACTTTTTGGAGTTTAAAACAACATCTTGATAGCTCCACTTAACTTCACTACCAGCACCGTCAATCCACCACAGAGCGGGATGATTACTTTGCCTTTTGCCTTCCTAAAATCAGCAATATGGACAAGGAAAAACAGCTTAAGTCAAAAAGACGCTATATTTACCAGTTTCCGCTTCAAAACTGGTCGTCACTCGCAAACAAGAATCTACAGATTTATTTCAACACTAATGTAAAGATCCATTTTCAAATTTCTTTAGCACCATTTTTCATCTTTCCATGACAGCTCTTTTCTCACAGGTTAAGAGGCCTCAAAATTAATTGGATACCACACTCATCAATAGGCTTCACAGAAATACCGACGTAGGGTTTTAGCATCTTTTTCCATGTAATGATTCAAAAACATTATTTCGATGAATTTGATATGCCATATGTATCTTTGTCTCGTCTTTTGATGCTGGTTGATTAAGGAATGTGGGAAGGTTCTTATCGTAATTACATTGCTTTCGTTTTCACCTTTTCTTTCTGGGCCCATTCATCAATGACGTCTGCAAAGTTGAAGTACTCAGGAACTTGAAAACTTTTTGTTCTCCTGATCACTGCCTCAGCCATCAGTGAAGTGGCTTTGCAAGCCTCTGTAAG